GAATGGAATGATGGTGGAGTTGATCATTCCAAATTCATTCGGATTCCAGTCGAGATACTCGTCCTTCCACTTTTGAATCATCCAAACATTCAGTTTGATATTTTGTGAAGGTTCATCCTAAATAAAATTTTAAGAAACTGTTGAGCTATTTTTTTCAAAAGCTGTTGAGCAGTTCACTCACCACTTCTATAATCTGATAGAGGGATATGCTGATGTGCACTTTGAGGGATTTCTTGTGATCAAGAATTGGTCTGACTCGGACATCATATCTCTCCGGAGACAGAAGATGCCTGGTTAGACGGATCAAAGGAACATTCTGCATTGCTATGTCTCGATCAGCCGTCGAGTTAAGTAATCGTGGGTCTAAAAAGTGCCAATGTTTCGAGAAGATTGTTCTGGAAAACTTACCGAAAGTTTTCAAGGTTGCATTGAGCGAATGTGACGTTTTGTTGGCTGCTACTGATGTCAGCAAGACTATCAGAATGGTTAGATTTAACGTCATCTTCTCATGTAACCTGGAAAATGTGTTAGAAAATAAAATTTAAAAATGAATCAAAGTGAATAGGAGATATAAAATACAGTGAGAATGACACTGGAAAAAACAAATAATTGGTGGAAAAATGGGAAGCCAGAGGAATAATTTATTCGTTAGAGGAGTGGATCGTTTTTTTGAAAAATCGGAGGAAATGAAGAGAAAAAATGAATGAAGCTCAAGCCAAAGAGAAGTAAGAGAGAAAAAAGAACATGATTATTTTCTAAAAATACAGACAGTGAAAGCAAATGTGAATTGAGTAAAAAAAGCAGGAAAACGAAAAAATGGAAATGGAATAGGAAAGAGAAAAAGAGATTATCAGGAACCGCGTCATTTGTTTGGGATAGAATAGCAAACCGAAAGGAAAGAGTGTTCAGATTTAGAAAAACGAATAGAAATGTTCATCCGCCGAATTCAACACCAGCCTGATGCCAATGCACGAATCCGATGAAATTGATTCCGAAAGTGATTATGAGGAAAGCAACAACGAAAATGACAAAGCATGTCCTCTCGACTACAGTAGCCAGCCACTCGAACTCAGCAACTGCCAATTGACGATTGGCTTTGATCGAACCTGAAATC